ATCCAAGAGTGCACAAAATGATGACAAATTACACTAGAAGAGGCCAAGGGAGAAAAAGGAATCATTAGATTTTAACTACTTTGAAATTAAAGAATAATTATACACAAAGAGAAATAGCTAATATTGTTTCTTAATATATAAAACTTCAAAAGTAGCTTCTTTGTTTTAAATTCTAGCAATGTGCTACATTGTTACTAAAATCATGACTGCAGTCGATAGAAAAGCAAATGATTTTCCTAATATGACAGAAGTACAGTAAGCGAAAGGGGTTTTTAATGTATGGGTACAACATGAACAATGAAAGAAAAAAAATTAGACAGTTATTACGGATACACAGAATAAAAGGGATAATGATCTTCGAGAAGAGTAAATAATTTCAGCGCTGGTAGAAAGATGGCACCAAAAGACAATAAGCAGGTAATTTAAATGACAAATAAACAAAATAAACTTTACTGTTAGCTTTGAAGCAGGTGTTATATATTAAACTATCTTAATTCACACACAGAATTAGTGACATAACAGATCAAAAAAGAGTAAGAATCAAACTCGCAATATATTAACATTAAAAGAGCTATACATATATACTTTTTATAGATTTTTTTTTAAGAAAGGGCTCAAAAACACCATTCTAAAAACAGATTTCGAAGAACATCTTGGAAACAAAAGTCATAAACCATAAAAGAAATATTTCATTCAGAATTTTAACGTAAGAACCGTTTCTAATTTTAAGTTCTTTACTTAGGTACTGTCATCCAGGAGAGAGGAACACTTAGTCCAATGTACAAGAAATTATCCTGAAATATTACCACGTCACTTTAATGAAATTATAGCAATATTTCACTCAGGGAAAGAACATATTGCCTAGCTGCCCGGGTTCGAGCCCAGCTTTAATACAGCAAGCCCAAAACACATCAAATGCCATTGAATGATACAGCATTTTGAAATGATGCAAAAAATTTAAATGCAATTTCATGGAAGAGCTATTGTAATTACCTACATACTAAAAATTTTGACCAAAAATTAAAGAAAACTAAGATACTCTTTTTCTTTCGAAGGAATCAAAGTCATATACTAATGTAGGGATGCTCAACGTATTGTACTATAAAACCTAAACATAGGAATGAAATTTTGTCAGCTATATGTGAGATGTCCAATAAAGAGAAATTCCGTAAATTGTAGAATAGAACCTACGTCTGAAAACAGACGAAAGGTAAAACATAATTCAAATACTTTACTTTTAGCCTTGAAGCAGGTATTCTACATTAAACTGTATTAATTCACATACAGAATTAGTATATAAAATCTCAAAATATTGCAAGAACCAAACACGCATTATATAAACATTAAAAATTCTATATACATTTATTAGTGTTACGAGGGTTTATTCTTAAATATTATAAGGTCACTTTCAAAGAAATGATAGAAATTTTCACTCAGGGAAGGGACATTCTGTCTGGCTGCCAGGGTTCCATCCCAGCTTCTGTTACAAAAGTTTCATAGAAGAATTTTAAAAATCCAGAAACGAAACTTATGAAGAAATTATTGAACATACCTGGTTCTATGATTTAGCCATTCTTACAGACATAATAACTAAATCTTAAACTTGAGGGAGGGGGGAGAACTAAAGTCTTTGAATTAAAGGGTATTATAAATTCATTTTAAATCAAAATTAATTTTGTGAAAATATTACACAAATATAAGGGTAAAACCCCAGTGTCCAATGGGAAGTCCAAAAGAAACTTTCAGAGTGCTTTCAAAACAAAGTTGAAAGTTAATCTGCAGAATTTTACTTCGATAATAATAAAACATCTCTGATTTGATTTCAAAATGAATTTTTATTTATGGAATCAATTTTAAATAGATCTTCGCAAATTGGTTCATAAAACTTCACAATATGCCAAAATAGTTCAGATTAAGGGAAAAAAATTATAAAGTATGCTTAAAACAACTAAGAAAAAGCACATTTTGAGCAGCCTTAACAGAAGACAATTTGGCTCCACTAACTTTCTTTACGAGTACTCATTAAATTTTTATTTACATTTCTTTTTTGTTCAACATTTAACTTTCAATGGTTTTAAGAGAAACAGCACTTGATAGAGAGACTCTAAATTCGGAAAAAACTGAAACAAAATTGGTTTATACACAGGCAGTGCAATTACACTGACCTGTTGGGAAGAGAAGACCCCGTTGGACAGGGAAAATATTAGGCCACACAGAGAGGAAAATGTTTAGCCTCCTCCTCGTAATGCGAAAGGAGGCCACTTGGGAAAAAATTACACTACAGCAGTAATTTTGAAACCACTACGAAGCAACAGAACTCTAACAAATCTCAGACTTCTGATAATTATAGTGTGATTAACAGTTCAACCTCACTTCGAATATTACAAAAGAAAACACCAATTCAGACAATTCAAAATGGAATTCAAAACCTACGAAATTAACGCATAAATGCTACCCTAAACATTAAAACATAATGTGAAGCGTTCATGTAAAATAAATAACTAGTAAAACTCCAATATAAAGCAACATGTGAAAAGGGACGTACAAATTATAACATTCAAGCATTTCTAGTGGAAATAAAGTTAATATAAAACAAGAATTACCAGCCACAGATGTCTTTTTGCTCTGCATTATTTCTCCGTTCTTTTTCTTTCATGATATCATGTTCTGCAATCCAAGAGTGCACAAAAATGATGACAAATTACACTAGAAGAGGCCAAAAAGGGGAAAAAAAGGAATCATTAGATTTTAACTACTTTGAAATTAAAGAATAATTATACACAAAGAGAAATATCTAATATTGTTTCTATATATATAGAACTTCAAAAGTAGCCTTCTTTGTTTTAAATTCCAGCAATGTGCTACATTGTTACTAAAATCATGACTGCAGTCGATAGAAAAGCAAATGATTTTCCTAATACTACGAAGTACAGTAAGCGAAAGGGGTTTTTAATGTATGGGTACAACATGAACAATGAAAGAAAAAAAAATTAGACAGTTATTACGGATACACAGAATAAAAGGGATAATGATCTTCGAGAAGAGTAAATAATTTCAGCGCTGGTAGAAAGATGGCACCAAAAGACAATAAGCAGGTAATTTTAAATGACAAATAAACAAAATAAACTTTACTGTTAGCTTTGAAGCAGGTGTTATATATTAAACTATCTTAATTCACACACAGAATTAGTGACATAACAGATCAAACTCGCAATATATTAACATTAAAAGAGCTATACATATATACTTTTATAGATTTTTTTTTTTTAAAAAGGGCTCAAAAACACCATTCTAAAAACAGATTTCGAAGAACATCTTGGAAACAAAAGTCATAAACCATAAAAGAAATATTTCATTCAGAATTTTAACGTAAGAACCGTTTCTAATTTTAAGTTCTTTACTTAGGTACTCTCATCCAGAGAGAGAGGACAGCTTAGTCCAATGTACAAGAAATTATCCTGAAATATTACCACGTCACTTTAATGAAATTATAGCAATATTTCACTCAGGGAAAGAACATATTGTCTAGCTGCCCGGGTTCGAGCCCAGCTTTAATACAGCAAGCCAAAACACATCAAATGCCATTGAATTAAACAGCATTTTGAAATGTCGCAAAAAATTTAAATGCAATTTCGTGGAAGAGCTATTGCAATTACCTACATACTAAAATTTTGACCAAAAATTCAAGAAAACTAAGATACTCGTTTTTTCTTTCGAAGGAATCAAAGTCATATACTAATGTAGGGATGCTCAACTTATTGTACTATAAAACCTAAACATAGGAATGAAATTTTGTCAGCTATGTGAGATGTCCAATACCGAGAAATTCCGTAAATTGTAGAATAGAACCTACGCCTGTAAACACACGAAAGGTAAAACATAATTCCAATACTTTACTTTTAGCCTTGAAGCAGGTGTTCTAAATTAAACTGTCTTAATTCACATACAGAATTGGTAATATAATAGCTCAAAATATTGTAAGAACCAAACACGCATTATATAAACATTAAAAAAATCTATATACATTTATTAGTGTTACGTGGGTTTATTCTGAAATATTATAAGGGCACTTTCAATGAAATGATAGAAATTTTCACTCAGGGAAGGGACATTCTGTCTGGCTGCCAGGGTTCCATCCCAGCTTCTGTTACGAAAGTTTCATAGAAGAATTTTAAAAATCCAGAAACGAAACTTATGAAGAAATTATTGAACATACCTGGTTCTATGATTTAGCCATTCTTACAGACATAATAACTAAATCTTAAACTTGAGGGAGGGGGGGAGAAGTCTTTGAATTAAAGGGTATTATAAATTCATTTTAAATCAAAATTAATTTTGTGAAAATATTACACAAATATAAGGAATATACATTTTTACCATAATGTAATGCACGTTTCGCCACTTTGAAAATCTGGAGAACTAAAGCATGAAATATAAGAAAACTGAAACAATCATTTGGAAAATCTCATCGAGCTTAAATTAGTTTCTAAATTAGATGTTTTGAGTGTATTTAAAATTAGGCCAACTACTTCATTCACTTCAAACCCATTACATAATACTAGTATTTAAGAAAAATGGTAAAAGATTGCAAATATGTTAAAAACAATTCTATTGATCTAGAAATGGAAAAACTGATTTTCATCCTAATTAAGATCAAAGAAGTCCAAAAGAAACTTTCAGAGTGCTTTTCAAAACAAAGTTGAAAGTTAATCTGCAGAATTTTACTTCGATAATAATAAAACATCTCTGATCTGATTTCAAAATGAATTTTTATTTATCGAATCAATTTTGAATAGATCTTCGCAAATTGGTTAAAAAAACTTCACAATATGCCAAAATTGTTCAGATTAAGGAAAAAATATAATAAAGTATGCTTAAAACAACTAAAAAAAAAGCACATTTTGAGCATCCTTAACAGAAGACAATTTGGCTCCACTAACTTTCTTTACGAGTACTCATTAAATTTTTATTTACATTTTTTTTTGTTCAACATTTAACTTTCAATGGTTTTAAGAGAAACAGCACTTGATAGAGAGACTCTAAATTCGGAAAAAACTGAAACAAAATTGGTTTATACACAGGCAGTGCAATTTACACTGACCTGTTGGGAAGAGAAGACCCCGTTGGACAGGGAAAATATTAGGCCACACAGAGAGGAAAATGTTTAGCCTCCTCCTCGTAATGCGAAAGGAGGCCACTTGGGAAAAAATTACACTACAGCAGTAATTTTGAAACCACTACGAAGCAACAGAACTCTAACAAATCTCAGACTTCTGATAATTATAGTGTGATTAACAGTTCAACCTCACTTCGAATATTACAATACAATAAAGAAAGCACCAATTCAGACACTTCAATATGGAATTCAAAACCTAAGAAATTAATGCATAAATGCTACCCTAAACATTAAAACATAATGTGAAGCGTTCATGTAAAATAAATAACTAGTAAAACTCCAATATAAAGCAACATGTGAAAAGGGACATACAAATTATAACATTCAAGCATTTCTAGTGGAAATAAAGTTAATATAAAACAAGAATTACCAGCCACAGATGTCTTTTTGCTCTGCACTATTTCTCCGTTCTTTTTCTTTCATGATATCATGTTCTGCAATCCAAGAGTGCACAAAAATGATGACAAATTACACTAGAAGAGGCCAAAAAGGGGGAAAAAAGGAATCATTAGATTTTAACTACTTTGAAATTAAAGAATAATTATACACAAAGAGAAATATCTAATATTGTTTCTTAATATATATAAAACTTCAAAAGTAGCCTTCTTTGTTTTAAACTCGAGCAATGTGCTACATTGTTACTAAAATCATGACTGCAGTCGATAGAAAAGCAAAGATTTTCCTAATACGACAGAAGTACAGTAAGCGAAAGGGGTTTTTAATGCATGGGTACAACATGAATAACAAAAGAAAAAACAAATTAGACAGTTATTACGAATACACAGAATAAAAGAGATAATGAGCTTCGAGAAGAGTAAATAATTTCAGCGCTGGTAGAAAGATGGCACCAAAAGACAATAAGCCGGTAATTTTAAATCACAAATAAACAAAATAAACTTTACTGTTAGCTTTGAAGCAGATGTTATATATTAAACTATCTTAATTCACACACAGAATTAGTCACATAACAGATCAAAAAAGAGTAAGAATCAAACTCGCAATATATTAACATTAAAAGAGCTATACATATATACTTTTTTAAAGATTTTTTTTTAAAAAAAGGGCTCAAAAAACACCATTCTAAAAACAGATTTCGAAGAAACATCTTGGAAACAAAAGTCATAAACCATAAAAGAAATATTTCATTCAGAATTTTAACGTAAGAACCGTTTCTAATTTTAAGTTCTTTACTTAGGTACTCTCATCCATGAGAGAGGACAGCTTAGTCCAATGTACAAGAAATTATCCTGAAATATTACCACGTCACTTTAATGAAATTATAGCAATATTTCACTCAGGGAAAGAACATATTGTCTAGCTGCCCGGGTTCGAGCCCAGCTTTAATACAGCAAGCCAAAACACATCAAATGCCATTGAATTAAACAGCATTTTGAAATGTCGCAAAAAATTTAAATGCAATTTCGTGGAAGAGCTATTGCAATTACCTACATACTAAAATTTTGACCAAAAATTCAAGAAAACTAAGATACTCTTTTTCTTTCGAAGGAATCAAAGTCATATACTAATGTAGGGATGCTCAACTTATTGTACTATAAAACCTAAACATAGGAATGAAATTTTGTCAGCTATGTGAGATGTCCAATACCGAGAAATTCCGTAAATTGTAGAATAGAACCTACGTCTGAAAACAGACGAAAGGTAAAACATAATTCAAATACTTTACTTTTAGCCTTGAAGCAGGTGTTCTATATTAAACTGTCTTAATTCACATACAGAATTAGTAATATAAATAGCTCAAAATATTGTAAGAACCAAACACGCATTATATAAACATTAAAAATTCTATATACATTTATTAGTGTTACGAGGGTTTATTCTGAAATATTATAAGGTCACTTTCAAAGAAATGATAGAAATTTTCACTCAGGGAAGGGACATTCTGTCTGGCTGCCAGGGTTCCATCCCAGCTTCTGTTACAAAAGTTTCATAGAAGAATTTTAAAAATCCAGAAACGAAACTTATGAAGAAATTATTGAACATACCTGGTTCTATGATTTAGCCATTCTTACAGACATAATAACTAAATCTTAAACTTGAGGGAGGGGGGGAGAACTAAAGTCTTTGAATTAAAGGGTATTATAAATTCATTTTAAATCAAAATTAATTTTGTGAAAATATTACACAAATATAAGGAATATACATTTTTACCATAATGTAATGCACGTTTCGCCACTTTGAAAATCTGGAGAACTAAAGCATGAAATATAAGAAAACTGAAACAATCATTTGGAAAATCTCATCGAGCTTAAATTAGTTTCTAAATTAGATGTTTTGAGTGTATTTAAAATTAGGCCAACTACTTCATTCACTTCAAACCCATTACATAATACTAGTATTTAAGAAAAATGGTAAATGATTGCGAATATGTTAAATAACAATTCTATTGATCTAGAAATGGAAAAAACTGATTTTCATCCTAATTAAGATCAAAAGAAAGTAAGAAGTCCAAAAGAAACTTTCAGAGTGCTTTTCAAAACAAAGTTGAAAGTTAATCTGCAGAATTTTACTTCGATAATAATAAAACATCTCTGATCTGATTTCAAAATGAATTTTTATTTATCGAATCAATTTTGAATAGATCTTCGCAAATTGGTTAAAAAAACTTCACAATATGCCAAAATTGTTCAGATTAAGGAAAAAATATAATAAAGTATGCTTAAAACAACTAAAAAAAAGCACATTTTGAGCAGCCTTAACAGAAGACAATTTGGCTCCACTAACTTTCTTTACGAGTACTCATTAAATTTTTATTTACATTTTTTTTTGTTCAACATTTAACTTTCAATGGTTTTAAGAGAAACAGCACTTGATAGAGAGACTCTAAATTCGGAAAAAACTGAAACAAAATTGGTTTATACACAGGCAGTGCAATTACACTGACCTGTTGGGAAGAGAAGACCCCGTTGGACAGGGAAAATATTAGGCCACACAGAGAGGAAAATGTTTAGCCTCCTCCTCGTAATGCGAAAGGAGGCCACTTGGGAAAAAATTACACTACAGCAGTAATTTTGAAACCACTACGAAGCAACAGAACTCTAACAAATCTCAGACTTCTGATAATTATAGTGTGATTAACAGTTCAACCTCACTTCGAATATTACAATACAATATAAAGAAAGCACCAATTCAGACACTTCAATATGGAATTCAAAACCTAAGAAATTAATGCATAAATGCTACCCTAAACATTAAAACATAATATGAAGCGTTCATGTAAAATAAATAACTAGTAAAACTCCAATATAAAGCAACATGTGAAAAGGGACGTACAAATTATAACATTCAAGCATTTCTAGTGGAAATAAAGTTAATATAAAACAAGAATTACCAGCCACAGATGTCTTTTTGCTCTGCACTATTTCTCCGTTCTTTTTCTTTCACGATATCATGTTCTGCAATCCAAGAGTGCACAAAAATGATGACAAATTACACTAGAAGAGGCCAAAAGGGGGAAAAAAGGAATCATTAGATTTTAACTACTTTGAAATTAAAGAATAATTATACACAAAGAGAAATATCTAATATTGTTTCTTAATATATAAAACTTCAAAAGTAGCCTTCTTTGTTTTAAATTCCAGCAATGTGCTACATTGTTACTAAAATCATGACTGCAGTCGATAGAAAAGCAAATGATTTTCCTAATACGACAGAAGTACAGTTAGCGAAAGGGGGTTTTTAATGTATGGGTACAACATGAAAAATGAAAGAAAAAAAAATTATACAGTTATTACGGATACACAGAATAAAAGGGATAATGATCTTCGAGAAGAGTAAATAATTTCAGCGCTGGTAGAAAGATGGCACCAAAAGACAATAAGCAGGTAATTTTAAATGACAAATAAACAAAATAAACTTTACTGTTAGCTTTGAAGCAGGTGTTATATATTAAACTATCTTAATTCACACACAGAATTAGTGACATAACAGATCAAAAAAGAGTAAGAATCAAACTCGCAATATATTAACATTAAAAGAGCTATACATATATACTTTTTAAAGATTTTTTTTTAAAAAAGGGCTCAAAAACACCATTCTAAAAACAGATTTCGAAGAACATCTTGGAAACAAAAGTCATAAACCATAAAAGAAATATTTCATTCAGAATTTTAACGTAAGAACCGTTTCTAATTTTAAGTTCTTTACTTAGGTACTCTCATCCATGAGAGAGGACAGCTTAGTCCAATGTACAAGAAATTATCCTGAAATATTACCACGTCACTTTAATGAAATTATAGCAATATTTCACTCAGGGAAAGAACATATTGTCTAGCTGCCCGGGTTCGAGCCCAGCTTTAATACAGCAAGCCAAAACACATCAAATGCCATTGAATGATATACAGCATTTTGAAATGTTGCAAAAAATTTAAATGCAATTTCGTGGAATGGAAGAGCTATTGCAATTACCTACATACTAAAATTTTGACCAAAAATTCAAGAAAACTAAGATACTCCTTTTTCTTTCGAAGGAATCAAAGTCATATACTAATGTAGGGATGCTCAACTTATTGTACTATAAAACCTAAACATAGGAATGAAATTTTGTCAGCTATGTGAGATGTCCAATACCGAGAAATTCCGTAAATTGTAGAATAGAACCTACGTCTGAAAACACACGAAAGGTAAAACATAATTCAAATACTTTACTTTTAGCCTTGAAGCAGATGTTCTATATTAAACTGTCTTAATTCACATACAGAATTAGTAATATAATAGCTCAAAATATTGTAAGAACCAAACACGCATTATATAAACATTAAAAAAAATCTATATACATTTATTAGTGTTACGAGGGTTTATTCTGAAATATTATAAGGTCACTTTCAAAGAAAATGATAGAAATTTTCACTCAGGGAAGGGACATTCTGTCTGGCTGCCTGGGTTCCATCCCAGCTTCTGTTACAAAAGTTTCATAGAAGAATTTTAAAAATCCAGAAACGAAACTTATGAAGAAATTATTGAACATACCTGGTTCTATGATTTAGCCATTCTTACAGACATAATAACTAAAATCTTAAAAACTTGAGGGAGGGGGGAGAACTAAAGTCTTTGAATTAAAGGGTATTATAAATTCATTTTAAATCAAAATTAATTTTGTGAAAATATTACACAAATATAAGGAATATACATTTTTACCATAATGTAATGTACGTTTTGCCACTTTGAAAATCTGGAGAACTAAAGCGTGAAATATAAGAAAAACTGAAACAAATCATTTGGAAAATCTCATCGAGCTTAAATTAGTTTCTAAATTAGATGTTTTGAGTGTATTTAAAATTAGGCCAACTACTTCATTCACTTCAAAACCCATTACATAATACTAGTATTTAAGAAAAATGGTAAATGATTGCAAATATGTTAAATAAAAACAATTCTATTGATCTAGAAATGGAAAAAAAAAACTGATTTTCATCTAATTGATCAAAAGAAAGTCCAAAAAAGAAGTCCAAAAGAAACTTTCAGAGTGCTTTTCAAAAAACAAAGTTGAAAGTTAATCTGCAGAATTTTACTTCGATAATAATAAAACATCTCTGATTTGATTTCAAAATGAATTTTTATTTATCGAATCAATTTTGAATAGATCTTCGCAAATTGGTTAAAAAAACTTCACAATATGCCAAAATTGTTCAGATTAAGGAAAAAATATAATAAAGTATGCTTAAAACAACTAAAAAAAAAGCACATTTTGAAAAGCTTTAACAGAAGACAATTTGGCTCCACTAACTTTCTTTACGAGTACTCATTAAATTTTTATTTACATTTCTTTTTTGTTCAACATTTAACTTTCAACGGTTTTAAGAGAAACAGTACTTGATAGAGAGACTCTAAATTCGGAAAAAACTGAAAACAAAATTGGTTTATACACAGGAAGTGCAATTACACTGACCTGTTGGGAAGAGAAGACCTTGTTAGACAGGGAAAATATTAGGCCACACAGAGAGGAAAATGTTTAGCCTCCTCCTGGTAATGCGAAAGGAGGCCACTTAGGAAAAAATTACACTACAGCAGTAATTCTGAAACCACTACGAAGCAATAGAACTCTAACAAAACTCAAACTTCTGATAATTATAGTGTGATTAACAGTTCGACCTCACTTCGAATATTACAAAAGAAAACACCAATTCAGACAATTCAAAATGGAATTCAAAACCTACGAAATTAACGCATAAATGCTACCCTAAACATTAAAACATAATTTGAAGCGTTCATGTAAAATAAATAACTAGTAAAGCTCCAATATAAAGCAACATGTGAAAAGAGACGTACAAATTATAACATTCAAGCATTTCTAGTGGAAATAAAGTTGATATAAAACAAGAATTACCAGCCACAGATGTCCTTTTGCTCTGCATTATTTCTCCGTTCCTTTTCTTTCACTTTGATATCATGTTCTGCAATCCAAGAGTGCACAAAAATGATGACAAATTACACTAGAAGAGGCCAAAAGGGGGAAAAAAAGGAATCATTAGATTTTAACTACTTTGAAATTAAAGAATAATTATACACAAAGAGAAATATCTAATATTGTTTCTTAATATATAAAACTTCAAAAGTAGCCTTCTTTGTTTTAAATTCCAGCAATGTGCTACATTGTTACTAAAATCATGACTGCAGTCGATAGAAAAGCAAATGATTTTCCTAATACGACAGAAGTACAGTAAGCGAAAGGGGGGTTTTTAATGTATGGGTACAACATGAACAATGAAAGAAAAAAAAATTAGACAGTTATTACGGATACACAGAATAAAAGGGATAATGATCTTCGAGAAGAGTAAATAATTTCAGCGCTGGTAGAAAGATGGCACCAAAAGACAATAAGCAGGTAATTTTAAATGACAAATAAACAAAATAAACTTTACTGTTAGCTTTGAAGCAGGTGTTATATATTAAACTATCTTAATTCACACACAGAATTAGTGACATAACAGATCAAAAAAGAGTAAGAATCAAACTCGCAATATATTAACATTAAAAGAGCTATACATATATACTTTTTTAAAGATTTTTTTTTAAAAAAAGGGCTCAAAAACACCATTCTAAAAACAGATTTCGAAGAACATCTTGGAAACAAAAGTCATAAACCATAAAAGAAATATTTCATTCAGAATTTTAACGTAAGAACCGTTTCTAATTTTAAGTTCTTTACTTAGGTACTCTCATCCATGAGAGAGGAGGACAGCTTAGTCCAATGTACAAGAAATTATCCTGAAATATTACCACGTCACTTTAATGAAATTATAGCAATATTTCACTCAGGGAAAGAACATATTGTCTAGCTGCCCGGGTTCGAGCCCAGCTTTAATACAGCAAGCCAAAAACACATCAAATGCCATTGAATGATACAGCATTTTGAAATGATGCAAAAAATTTAAATGCAATTTCGTGGAAGAGCTATTGCAATTACCTACATACTAAAATTTTGACCAAAAATTCAAGAAAACTAAGATACTCCTTTTTCTTTCGAAGGAATCAAAGTCATATACTAATGTAGGGATGCTCAACTTATTGTACTATATAAAACCTAAACATAGGAATGAAATTTTGTCAGCTATGTGAGATGTCCAATAACCGAGAAATTCCGTAAATTGTAGAATAGAACCTGCGTCTGAAAACAGACGAAAGGTAAAACATAATTCAAATGCTTTACTTTTAGCCTTGAAGCAGGTGTTCTATATTAAACTGTGTTAATTCACATACAGAATTAGTAATATAAAAGCTCAAAATATTGTAAGAACCAAACACGCATTATATAAACATTAAAAATTCTATATACATTTATTAGTGTTACGAGGGTTTATTCTGAAATATTATAAGGTCACTTTCAAAGAAATGATAGAAATTTTCACTCAGGGAAGGGACATTCTGTCTGGCTGCCAGGGTTCCATCCCAGCTTCTGTTACAAAAGTTTCATAGAAGAATTTTAAAAATCCAGAAACGAAACTTATGAAGAAATTATTGAACATACCTGGTTCTATGATTTAGCCATTCTTACAGACATATAAACTAAATCTTAAACTTGAGGGAGGGGGGAGAGAACTAAAGTCTTTGAATTAAAGGGTATTATAAATTCATTTTAAATCAAAATTAATTTTGTGAAAATATTACACAAATATAAGGAATATACATTTTTACCATAATGTAATGCACGTTTCGCCACTTTGAAAATCTGGAGAACTAAAGCATGAAATATAAGAAAACTGAAACAATCATTTGGAAAATCTCATCGAGCTTAAATTAGTTTCTAAATTAGATGTTTTGAGTGTATTTAAAATTAGGCCAACTACTTCATTCACTTCAAACCCATTACATTACTAGTATTTAAGAAAAATGGTAAATGAAATATGTTAAATAACAATTCTATTGATCTTTAAGAAGTCCAAAAGAAACTTTCAGAGTGCTTTCAAAACAAAGTTGAAAGTTAATCTGCAGAATTTTACTTCGATAATAATAAAACATCTCTGATTTGATTTCAAAATGAATTTTTATTTATCGAATCAATTTTGAATAGATCTTCGCAAATTGGTTAAAAAAACTTCACAATATGCCAAAATTGTTCAGATTAAGGAAAAAATATAATAAAGTATGCTTAAAACAACTAAAAAAAAAGCACATTTTGAGCAGCCTTAACAGAAGACAATTTGGCTCCACTAACTTTCTTTACGAGTACTCATTAAATTTTTATTTACATTTCTTTTTTGTTCAACATTTAACTTTCAATGGTTTTAAGAGAAACAGCACTTGATAGAGAGACTCTAAATTCGGAAAAAACTGAAACAAAATTGGTTTATACACAGGCAGTGCAATTACACTGACCTGTTGGGAAGAGAAGACCCCGTTGGACAGGGAAAATATTAGGCCACACAGAGAGGAAAATGTTTAGCCTCCTCCTCGTAATGCGAAAGGAGGCCACTTGGGAAAAAATTACACTACAGCAGTAATTTTGAAACCACTACGAAGCAACAGAACTCTAACAAATCTCAGACTTCTGATAATTATAGTGTGATTAACAGTTCAACCTCACTTCGAATATTACAATACAATATAAGAAAGCACCAATTCAGACACTTCAATATGGAATTCAAAACCTAAGAAATTAATGCATAAATGCTACCCTAAACATTAAAACATAATGTGAAGCGTTCATGTAAAATAAATAACTAGTAAAACTCCAATATAAAGCAACATGTGAAAAGGGACGTACAAATTATAACATTCAAGCATTTCTAGTGGAAATAAAGTTAATATAAAACAAGAATTACCAGCCACAGATGTCTTTTTGCTCTGCACTATTTCTCCGTTCTTTTTCTTTCATGATATCATGTTCTGCAATCCAAGAGTGCACACAAAAATGATGACAAATTACACTAGAAGAGGCCAAAAAAAGGGGGAAAAAAGGAATCATTAGATTTTAACTACTTTGAAATTAAAGAATAATTATACACAAAGAGAAATATCTAATATTGTTTCTTAATATATAAAACTTCAAAAGTAGCCTTCTTTGTTTTAAATTCCAGCAATGTGCTACATTGTTACTAAAATCATGACTGCAGTCGATAGAAAAGCAAATGATTTTCCTAATACGACAGAAGTACAGTAAGCGAAAGGGGTTTTTAATGTATGGGTACAACATGAACAATGAAAGAAAAAAAAATTAGACAGTTATTACGGATACACAGAATAAAAGGGATAATGATCTTCGAGAAGAGTAAATAATTTCAGCGCTGGTAGAAAGATGGCACCAAAAGACAATAAGCAGGTAATTTTAAATGACAAATAAACAAAATAAACTTTACTGTTAGCTTTGAAGCAGGTGTTATATATTAAACTATCTTAATTCACACACAGAATTAGTGACATAACAGATCAAAAAAGAGTAAGAATCAAACTCGCAATATATTAACATTAAAAGAGCTATACATATATACTTTTAAAGATTTTTTTTTAAAAAAAAGGGCTCAAAAACACCATTCTAAAAACAGATTTCGAAGAACATCTTGGAAACAAAAGTCATAAACCATAAAAGAAATATTTCATTGAGAATTTTAACGTAAGAACCGTTTCTAATTTTAAGTTCTTTACTTAGGTACTCTCATCCATGAGAGAGGACAGCTTAGTCCAATGTACCAGAAATTATCCTGAAATATTACCACGTCACTTTAATGAAATTATAGCAATATTTCACTCAGGGAAAGAACATATTGTCTAGCTGCCCGGGTTCGAGCCCAGCTTTAATACAGCAAGCCAAAACACATCAAATGCCATTGAATGATACAGCATTTTGAAATGTTGCAAAAAATTTAAATGCAATTTCGTGGAAGAGCTATTGCAATTACCTACATACTAAAATTTTGACCAAAAATTCAAGAAAACTAAGATACTCCTTTTTCTTTCGAAGGAATCAAAGTCATATACTAATGTAGGGATGCTCAACTTATTGTACTATAAAACCTAAACATAGGAATGAAATTTTGTCAGCTATGTGAGATGTCCAATACCGAGAAATTCCGTAAATTGTAGAATAGAACCTACGTCTGAAAACAGACGAAAGGTAAAACATAATTCAAATACTTTACTTTTAGCCTTGAAGCAGGTGTTCTATATTAAACTGTCTTAATTCACATACAGAATTAGTAATATAATAGCTCAAAATATTGTAAGAACCAAACACGCATTATATAAACATTAAAAAAATCTATATACATTTATTAGTGTTACGAGGGTTTATTCTGAAATATTATAAGGTCACTTTCAAAGAAATGATAGAAATTTTCACTCAGGGAAGGGACATTCTGTCTGGCTGCCAGGGTTCCATCCCAGCTTCTGTTACAAAAGTTTCATAGAAGAATTTTAAAAATCCAGAAACGAAACTTATGAAGAAATTATTGAACATACCTGGTTCTATGATTTAGCCATTCTTACAGACATAATAACTAAATCTTAAACTTGAGGGAGGGGGGGAGAACTAAAGTCTTTGAATTAAAGGGTATTATAAATTCATTTTAAATCAAAATTAATTTTGTGAAAATATTACACAAATATAAGGAATATACATTTTTACCATAATGTAATGTACGTTTTGCCACTTTGAAAATCTGGAGAACTAAAGCGTGAAATATAAGAAAACTGAAAACAAACATTTGGAAAATCTCATCGAGCTTAAATTAGTTTCTAAATTAGATGTTTTGAGTGTATTTAAAATTAGGCCAACTACTTCATTCACTTCAAACCCATTACATAATACTAGTATTTAAGAAAAATGGTAAAAGATTGCAAATATGTTAAATAACAATTCTATTGATCTAGAAATGGAAAAAACTGATTTTCATCCTAATTAAGATTTTCAAAGTTGAAAGTTAATCTGCAGAATTTTACTTCGATAATAATAAAACATCTCTGATTTGATTTCAAAATGAATTTTTATTTATGGAATCAATTTTAAATAGATCTTGACAAATTGGTTAAAACTTCACAATATGCCAAAATAGTTCAGATTAAGGGAAAAAATATAATAAAGTATGCTTAAAACAACTAAGAAAAAGCACATTTTGAGCAGCCTTAACAGAAGACAATTTGGCTCCACTAACTTTCTTTACGAGTACTCATTAAATTTTTATTTACATTTCTTTTTTGTTCAACATTTAACTTTCAATGGTTTTAAGAGAAACAGCACTTGATAGAGAGACTCTAAATTCGGAAAAAAGCTGAAACAAAATTCGTTTATACACAGGCAGTGCAATTAAACTGACCTGTTGGGGAAGAGAAGACCCCGTTGGACAGGGAAAATATTAGGCCACACAGAGAGGAAAATGTTTAGCCTCCTCCTCGTAATGCGAAAGGAGGCCACTTGGGAAAAATTACACTACAGCAGTAATTTTGAAACCACTACAAAGCAACAGAACTCTGAACAAATCTCAGACTTCGGATAATTATAGTGTGATTAACAGTTCCAACCTCACTTCCAATATTACAATATAATGAAAGCACCAATTCAGACACTTCAATATGGAATTCAAAACTAAGAAATTAATGCATAAATGCTACCCTAAACATTAAAACATAATGTGAAGCGTTCATGTAAAATAAATAACTAGTAAAACTCCAATATAAAGCAACATGTGAAAAGGGACATACAAATTATAAAAATTCAAGCATTTCTAGTGGAAATAAAGTTAATATAAAACAAGAATTACCAGCCACAGATGTCTTTTTGCTCTGCACTATTTCTCCGTTCTTTTCTTCGTTTTTCATGATATCATGTTCTGCAATCCAAGAGTGCACAAAAATGATGACAAATTACACTAGAAGAGGCCAAAGGTGGGGGAAAAAAGGAATCATTAGATTTTAACTACTTTGAAATTAAAGAATAATTATACACAAAGAGAAATATCTAATATTGTTTCTTAATATATAAAACTTCAAAAGTAGCCTTCTTTGTTTTAAATTCTAGCAATGTGCTACATTGTTACTAAAATCATGACTGCAGTCGATAGAAAAGCAAATGATTTTCCTAATACGACAGAAGTACAGTAAGCGAAGGGGGTTTTTAATGTATGGGTACAACATGAACAATGAAAGAAAAAAAAATTAGACAGTTATTACGGATACACAGAATAAAAGGGATAATGATCTTCGAGAAGAGTAAATAATTTCAGCGCTGGTAGAAAGATGGCACCAAAAGACAATAAGCAGGTAATTTTAAATGACAAATAAACAAAATAAACTTTACTGTTAGCTTTGAAGCAGGTGTTATATATTAAACTATCTTAATTCACACACAGAATTAGTGACATAACAGATCAAAAAAGAGTAAGAATCAAACTCGCAATATATTAACATTAAAAGAGCTATACATATATACTTTTAATAGATTTTTTTTTAAAGAAAGGGCTCAAAAAACACCATTCTAAAAACAGATTTCGAAGAACATCTTGGAAACAAAAGTCATAAACCATAAAAGAAATATTTCATTCAGAATTTTAACGTAAGAACCGTTTCTAATTTTAAGTTCTTTACTTAGGTACTGTCATCCAGGAGAGAGGACAGCTTAGTCCAATGTACAAGAAATTATCCTGAAATATTACCACGTCACTTTAATGAAATTATAGCAATATTTCACTCAGGGAAAGAACATATTGTCTAGCTGCCCGGGTTCGAGCCCAGCTTTAATACAGCAAGCCAAAAACACATCAAATGCCATTGAATGATACAGCATTTTGAAATGATGCAAAAAATTTAAATGCAATTTCGTGGGAGAGCAATTGTAATTACCTACATACTAAAATTTTGACCAAAAATTAAAGAAAACTAAGATATTCTTTTTCTTTCGAAGGAATCAAAGCCATATACTAATATAGGGATGCTCAACGTATTGTACTATAAAACCTAAACATAGGAATGAAATTTTCTCAGCTATGTGAGATATCCAATAAAGAGAAATTCCGTAAATTGTAGAATAGAACCTACGTCTGAAAACAGACGAAAGGTAAAACATAATTCAAATACTTTACTTTTAGCATTGAAGCAGGCATTCTACATTAAACTGTATTAATTCACATACAGAATTAGTAATATAATAGCTCAAAATATTGTAAGAACCAAACATGCATTATAAAAACATTAAAAAAACTCTATATACATTTATTAGTGTTACAGAATGAGGGTTTATTCTGAAATATTATAAGGTCACTTTCAATGAAATGATAGAAATTTTCACTCAGGGAAGGGACATTCTGTCTGGCTGCCTTGGTTCTATCCCAGCTTCTGTTACAAAAGTTTCATAGAAGAATTTTAAAAATCTCAGAAACGAAACTTATGAAAGAAATTATTGAACATACCTGGTTCTATGATTTAGCCATTCTTACAGACATAATAACTAAATCTTAAAATTGAGGGGGGGGAGAACTAAAGTCTTTGAATTAAAGGGTATTATAAATTCATTTTAAATCAAAATTAATTTTGTGAAAAAATTACACAAATATAAGGAATATACATTTTTACCATAATGTAATGCACGTTTTGCCACTTTGAAAATCTGAGAGAACTAAAGCATTGAAATATAAGAAAACTGAAAAACATTTGGAAAATCTCATCGAGCTTAAATTAGTTTCTAAATTAGATGTTTGAGTGTATTTAAAATTAGGCCAACTACTTTCATTCACTTCAAACCCATTACATAATCTAGTATTATAAGAAAAAGACATCAGCATTGTCAAAACATAATTCTGTCATGCATTTTGCCAACAGAAAAAGAAGTCCAAAAGAAACTTTCAGAGTGCTTTTCAAAACAAAGTTGAAAGTTAATCTGCAGAATTTTACTTCGATAATAATAAAACATCACTGATTCGATTTCAAAATTAATTTTTATTTATTGAATCAATTTTAAATAGATCTTCGCAAATTGGTTCAGAAAACTTCACAATATGCTAAAATAGTTCAGATTAAGGGAAAAAATATAATAAAGTATGCTTAAAACAACTAAGAAAAAGCACATTTTGAGCAGCCTTAACAGAAGACAATTTGGCTCCACTAACTTTCTTTACGAGTACTCATTAAATTTTTATTTACATTTATTTTTTGTTCAACACTTAACTTTCAATGGTTTTAACAGAAATAGCACTTGAGAGAGACACTCTAAATTCAGAAAAAACTGAAACAAAATTGGTTTATACACAGGCAGTGCAATTAAATTGGCCTGTTGGGAAGAGAAAACCCCGTCGGACAGGGAAAATATTAGGCCACACAGAGAAGAAAATGTTTAGCCTCCTTCTCGTAATGCGAAAGGAGGCCACTTGGGAAAAAATTACACCACAGCAGTAATTTTGAAACCACTACGAAGCAACAGAACTCTAACAAATCTCAGACTTCTGATAATTATAGTGTGATTAACAGTTCAACCTCACTTCGAATATTACAAAAGAAAACACCAATTCAGACACTTCAATATGGAATTCAAAACCTAAGAAATTAATGCATAAATGCTACCCTAAACATTAAAACGTAATATGAAGCGTTCATGTAAAATAACTAGTAAAACTCCAATATAAAGCAACATGTGAAAAGGGACATACAAATTATAACATTCAAGCATTTCTAGTGGAAATAAAGTTAATATAAAACAAGAATTACCAGCCACAGATGTCTTTTTGCTCTGCACTATTTCTCCGTTCTTTTTCTTTCACGATATCATGTTCTGCAATCCAAGAGTGCACAAAAATGATGACAAATTACACTAGAAGAGGCCAAAAAAGGGGGAAAAAAGGAATCATTAGATTTTAACTACTTTGAAATTAAAGAATAATTATACACAAAGAGAAATATCTAATATTGTTTCTTAATATATAAAACTTCAAAAGTAGCCTTCTTTGTTTTAAATTCCAGCAATGTGCTACATTGTTACTAAAATCATGACTGCAGTCGATAGAAAAGCAAATGATTTTCCTAATACGACAGAAGTACAGTAAGCGAAAGGGGTTTTTAATGTATGGGTACAACATGAAACAATGAAAGAAAAAAAATTAGACAGTTATTACGGATACACAGAATAAAAGGGATAATGATCTTCGAGAAGAGTAAATAATTTCAGCGCTGGTAGAAAGATGGCACCAAAAGACAATAAGCAGGTAATTTTAAATGACAAATAAACAAAATAAACTTTACTGTTAGCTTTGAAGCAGGTGTTATATATTAAACTATCTTAATTCACACACAGAATTAGTGACATAACAGATCAAAAAAGAGTAAGAATCAAACTCGCAATATATTAACATTAAAAGAGCTATACATATATACTTTTAAAGATTTTTTTTTAAAAAAGGGCTCAAAAAAACACCATTCTAAAAAACAGATTTCGAAGAACATCTTGGAAACAAAAGTCATAAACCATAAAAGAAATATTTCATTCAGAATTTTAACGTAAGAACCGTTTCTAATTTTAAGTTCTTTACTTAGGTACTCTCATCCATGAGAGAGGACAGCTTAGTCCAATGTACAAGAAATTATCCTGAAATATTACCACGTCACTTTAATGAAATTATAGCAATATTTCACTCAGGGAAAGAACATATTGTCTAGCTGCCCGGGTTCGAGCCCAGCTTTAATACAGCAAGCCAAAACACATCAAATGCCATTGAATGATACAGCATTTTGAAATGTTGCAAAAAATTTAAATGCAATTTCGTGGAAGAGCTATTGCAATTACCTACATACTAAAATTTTGACCAAAAATTCAAGAAAACTAAGATACTCCTTTTTCTTTCGAAGGAATCAAAGTCATATACTAATGTAGGGATGCTCAACTTATTGTACTATAAAACCTAAACATAGGAATGAAATTTTGTCAGCTATGTGAGATGTCCAATACCGAGAAATTCCGTAAATTGTAGAATAGAACCTACGTCTGAAAACAGACGAAAGGTAAAACATAATTCAAATACTTTACTTTTAGCCTTGAAGCAGGTGTTCTATATTAAACTGTCTTAATTCACATACAGAATTAGTAATATAATAGCTCAAAATATTGTAAGAACCAAACACGCATTATATAAACATTAAAAAAATCTATATACATTTATTAGTGTTACGAGGGTTTATTCTGAAATATTATAAGGTCACTTTCAAAGAAATGATAGAAATTTTCACTCAGGGAAGGGACATTCTGTCTGGCTGCCTGGGTTCCATCCCAGCTTCTGTTACAAAAGTTTCATAGAAGAATTTTAAAAATCCAGAAACGAAACTTATGAAGAAATTATTGAACATACCTGGTTCTATGATTTAGCCATTCTTACAGACATAATAACTAAATCTTAAACTTGAGGGGGGGGAGAGAACTAAAGTCTTTGAATTAAAGGGTATTATAAAATTCATTTTAAATCAAAATTAATTTTGTGAAAAATATTACACAAATATAAGGAATATACATTTTTACCATAATGTAATGTACGTTTTGCCACTTTGAAAATCTGGAGAACTAAAGCGTGAAATATAAGAAAACTGAAACAAACATTTGGAAAATCTCATCGAGCTTAAATTAGTTTCTAAATTAGATGTTTTGAGTGTATTTAAAATTAGGCCAACTACTTCATTCACTTCAAAACCCATTACATAATACTAGTATTTAAGAAAAATGGTAAAAGATTGCAAATATGTTAAATAACAATTCTATTGATCTAGAAATGGAAAAAAACTGATTTTCATCCTAATTAAGATCTCAAAACAAAGTTGAAAGTTAATCTGCAGAATTTTACTTCGATAATAATAAAACATCTCTGATTTGATTTCAAAATGAATTTTTATTTAAATCAATTTTAAATAGATCTTCAAATTGGTTAAAACTTCACAATATGCCAAAATAGTTCATATTAAGGGAAAATATAATAAAGTATGCTTAAAACAACTAAGAAAAAGCACATTTTGAGCAGCCTTAACAGAAGACAATTTGGCTCCACTAACTTTCTTTACGAGTACTCATTAAATTTTTATTTACATTTCTTTTTTGTTCAACATTTAACTTTCAATGGTTTTAAGAGAAACAGCACTTGATAGAGAGACTCTAAATTCGGAAAAAAGCTGAAACAAAATTCGTTTATACACAGGCAGTGCAATTAAACTGACCTGTTGGGAAGAGAAGACCCCGTTGGACAGGGAAAACATTAGGCCACACAGAGAGGAAAATGTTTAGCCTCCTCCTCGTAATGCAAAAGGAGGCCACTTGGGAAAAAAATTACACTACAGCAGTAATTTTGAAACCACTACAAAGCAACAGAACTCTAAGAAATCTCAGACTTCTGATAATTACAGTGTGATTAACAGTTCCAACCTCACTTCCAATATTACAATATAAGAGAAAGCACCAATTCAGACACTTCAATATGGAATTCAAAACCTAAGAAATTAATGCATAAATGCTACCCTAAACATTAAAACATAATGTGAAGCGTTCATGTAAAATAAATAACTAGTAAAACTCCAATATAAAGCAACATGTGAAAAGGGACATACAAATTATAACATTCAAGCATTTCTAGTGGAAATAAAGTTAATATAAAACAAGAATTACCAGCCACAGATGTCTTTTTGCTCTGCACTATTTCTCCGTTCAACTTTTCTTTCATGATATCATGTTCTGCAATCCAAGAGTGCACAAAAAATGATGACAAATTACACTAGAAGAGGCCAAAAAGGGGGAAAAAAAAGGAATCATTAGATTTTAACTACTTTGAAATTAAAGAATAATTATACACAAAGAGAAATATCTAATATTGTTTCTTAATATATAAAACTTCAAAAGTAGCCTTCTTTGTTTTAAATTCCTAGCAATGTGCTACATTGTTACTAAAATCATGACTGCAGTCGATAGAAAAGCAAATGATTTTCCTAATACGACAGAAGTACAGTAAGCGAAAGGGGTTTTTAATGTATGGGTACAACATGAACAATGAAAGAAAAAAAAATTAGACAGTTATTACGGATACACAGAATAAAAAGGGATAATGATCTTCGAGAAGAGTAAATAATTTCAGCGCTGGTAGAAAGATGGCACCAAAAGACAATAAGCAGGTAATTTTAAATGACAAATAAACAAAATAAACTTTACTGTTAGCTTTGAAGCAGGTGTTATATATTAAACTATCTTAATTCACACACAGAATTAGTGACATAACAGATCAAAAAAGAGTAAGAATCAAACTCGCAATATATTAACATTAAAAGAGCTATACATATATACTTTTATAGATTTATTTTTAGAAAGGGCTCAAAAACACCATTCTAAAAACAGATTTCGAAGAACATCTTGGAAACAAAAGTCATAAACCATAAAAGAAATATTTCATTCAGAATTTTAACGTAAGAACCGTTTCTAATTTTAAGTTCTTTACTTAGGTACTCTCATCCATGAGAGAGGAACGCTTAGTCCAATGTACAAGAAATTATCCTGAAATATTACCACGTCACTTTAATGAAATTATAGCAATATTTCACTCAGGGAAAGAACATATTGTCTAGCTGCCCTGGTTCGAGCCCAGCTTTAATACAGCAAGCCAAAAACACATCAAATGCCATTGAATGATACAGCATTTTGAAATGATGCAAAAAATTTAAAATGCAATTTCGTGGAAGAGCTATTGTAATTACCTACATACTAAAATTTTGACCAAAAATTAAAGAAAACTAAGATACTCTTTTTCTTTCGAAGGAATCAAAGTCATATACTAATGTAGGGATGCTCAACGTATTGTACTATAAAACCTAAACATAGGAATGAAATTT